ATTTAGGTGGTCGGTAGTAAACCACGTCCATGAGGCAATAGTTCATCTAGGGTGGGAAAAGACATTGGATAAGATGCATGAGGTCTACTGGTTCGACAATAATAAGTAAGTAATTGTATCACCTGTAAATTAACAAAACCACCCTCAGGTAAATTACCAATTGAACTTCACCCTATACCAAAAGTAGATATTCCATAGCACACTATTCACATAGATATAACAGGAAAATTAAGTGGCAAAGGGGATCAAAAGAAGTATATTATAGTTCAGATTGACGCCATTACTAAATTTGTTTATTTGCACCATACCATAAATATTACCAGTGAAAGTTGTGCCGAAGCAGTCAAATCGTCCATATCTATGTTTGGCATTCCAGCAAGAATCATAGCAGATCAGGGAAGGAGTTTTACCGGAGCAGTCTTCGGAGACTTTTGTAACATGCAAAAAATACAATTACATTTAATTGCAACGGGAACCAGCCGTGCAAACGGCCAAGTAGAACGAGTAATGAGCACCCTGAAAGGTATGCTGACTGCCGTAGAAAGTAGTCAGCGTACTTGGCAGGACGCTTTAGGCGAGATATAATTGGCCATAAACTGTACTGTAAATCGAATTACGAAAGCATGCCCTCTAGAACTATCAATTGGAAAAGAAGCGAGACCTTTTAATATGTTACCCCTCTGTGAAGAAAATAACAAAGTAGATTTAAGCACTGTAAGAAAAAAAGCCATGAAAATATTGAAAGTAATGCTAAATATGAAAAGAAAAGATTTGATAAAAACAAATGTAAAGTTAAAAGTTTTAAAATTGGTGATTATGTTTTGCTTAAAAACGAAGACAGGCATCAGACCAAATAAGATAATAAGTTTAAAGGCCCATTCTTAGTGTCAGAGTTACTTGAAGGCGACCGCTATGTTCTAAAATCACCAACTAATAAACGAACGTATAAATACGCGCACGAAGCTTTAAGAAAAATGCCTATTGAAGAGATTCCCAGAGAGTTAGATGTACATATGTAATGAGAGAATAGAAAATGATGATAGCTTATTGGTGGATTCCAATGAAGCAAGCGACGTGGAAGGCGACGTCGAGAGTCCGTTAGAGGATTCTAACTAAGATGTGGCATTGATGGACTTCAATGCGAAATTCTGTACAATCATACACCTAGATCAACTCTAGCCACTAGGTTGCCGTAGGTACATACATGGTCATGTATTCACCTGGCTATGGTGAGGCGCCTAATTAGTGGTGGAAACCTGAGTGATGTGTTTGTTGTAGATGGTATTCAAATCTTTAGGAATCGATTTCTAGTAAAGGCTCTTCGCAAACGAATAATCTAATTAACTAGTAAATATTGGAAAAAGTAATAACGAGCGACGTATTAATACGTTATATTATTTTTATGATCGTTTCAGATTGAACGGTACCTTCTAATTACTCTTAGTATTTTCTTTAAAATTTGTAACACACTAGGACACTAGGAATATCAGGATGGCCGTGTCGGATCTTTAGTTTTGTTTTCGTGGTATTACGCTATTAAAAAAAGAATTAACATAAAAAGCTGACTAACTTGGAATTACATTTTTACTTAGAATTAAAGCTTATGTTATGAATGCCACTCGTTGCTTTTTATTCCTCCCTTCGCATTCCTTTCTTTATATGAGCTTCTGTGTGTTAGTGTTGCGTTGAGCCTAACGGAGGTCCGTTATGTGCAGTCTCGCTGTGACATGGTGCGAGTAAAAAAGACGGCCATATGGTATTTGGTTAAGTGTGTGAACAAGAGGATGTTGACCAATTAGGGCTGTATAAAAGGGAGCTCTGATTGATAGATCAGGCAGTCTCGATCGAGGTGCGGTACTGAAAGGTTACGAAATGTCACAGCCGAGAAAGCGCACGGCTTGCAACACTCCAGAAATCATTGAGGAACTCGATGTTCCGACATATACATTTAAGCCTAGCTTTTTCATTTCGTTTTGTCTTCAACTCCAATGAATGAGCAAAATTTTACTTTTTAAATACAATTTTGCTCATTGATGTATTGGTGCATGCCCGGTGGTATTTTATCTAATTTTTTTTTTTTTCCAATTCCGTCTAGTATTTTTTTGAAATCGTTATACTGTTGTCTTGCTCGCACTTAAATAAAATCGTGTAATTATAAAATAAATGAGCAATGAATAAGGCCAACAATGTAGTGTCATAAGCCAATAACTGAGCCAGAACTAACCCTAACCCTAACGTAATTTAGCATCGACACGATCGACAATTTTATTCTTTGATAAAAAATATACGGACACAAATAATTTAGCTAAAAACAAGTTAAGTTAAAACAAGTTAAGAAGGGTGTTTTGCTAACTTGATTTAAGCTTAGCAGAACAACTTCTTTATTTTATATAACCTCTGCAAGAGGGTATTCTAATTTCAGTCAGAAGTTTGCGACGCAGTGAAGGAGACATCTCTGACCCTATAAAGTATATATTCTTGATCAGCATCACTAGGAGAGTCGATCTAGCCATGTCCGTCTGTCCGTCCGTTTCTACGCAAACTAGTCCCTCAGTTTTATAGCTATCTGCATGAAACTTTTCCAAAACTTGTCTTTCTATTGCAGGTAGTACATAAGTCGGAACGAGCCGGATCGGACGACGGTAGCATATAGCTCCTATAGGAAAAATCGGAAAAATAAATAAAAAAAAATTATAACTTTGCATTTTAATTTTTATTTTAGTTCTTCGACATATAGTAATGGTTAAATATTTCAGAATTACGGATTAAATTTTATCAAAATCGGACGACTATAGCATATAGCTCCCATAGGAACAAGCGGAAAATTAAATGAAAAAAAATTATACATTTGCTGTTTTTTAATTTTTTGATAGTTCTTCGACATAAGGCAACGGTTAAATATTTCAGAATTGTGGTTTAAATTTCATAAAAATCGGACTTCGTTGTCATATAGCTCCCTTCGGGACAATTAAAATATTAAACAAATTTTTTTTTTAAAATTTACTTTTTTATTTTGTTACTTTTTTTTAGAAATTCTTTTTGATTAATTAATAATTTAACTGTTCAAAATTACGCTTTTAATTTTATTAAACTCATAGGAACTATCAAATAATTGAGCTGCAAATCATCACAGCTTCAAGTAAATCATAATTTTAATGTTTTCATGAATAGCTGCAAGGGTACATGAACTTCGGAACTTCTTTTTTTTTTCTTTCCCGTTACGATTTTCAAACCTCTCCAACCGCATGCATATCAGCCGAGTCTGGCCTACCGATCATTCAGGCTCGCAGAGAAGGAATGACAATGCGGCTCATTCCCAAAACACATTCATAATATATTTTAAACAAGAAAGGAAGCGAACTTCGGAAGGCCGAAGTTCATATACCCTTGCAGCTTTTTCAAAAACTAAATACTCTTGAAAACGTTTAAACATTGAAGCTATGATGATATGCAGCTCAATTATTAGGTTATTTTATACATTTTAAATATTTCTATGGGAGCTATATGATAAAGTCGTCCGATTTTGGTGAAATTTAAATCGTAGTTCTGAAATATTTAACCATTACTATATCTCGAAGAATTAAAAAAAATTAAAAAAAACACCAAAGTTATAATTTTTGTTATTTATTTTTCCGATTGTTCCTATGGAGTTATATGCTATGGTCGTCCGATCCGGCTCGATCCGACTTATATACTACCTGCAATAGAAAGTCAACTTTTGGGAAAGTTTCATGCAGATAGCTTTAAAACTGAGACAGACAGACGGGCGGACAGACGGACAGACGTACATGGCTAGATCGACTCTCCTAGTGATGCTGATCAAGAATATATGTACTTTATAGGGTCGGAGATGTCTCCTTCACTGCGTTGCAAACTTCGGATGAAATTATAATGCCCTCTGCAAGAATATCAAAAAAAAATTTTATAAATTTGTATTGTTTCCATGGGAGCTATATGATATAGCCGTCCGATTTTGATGATATTTAAACCGTAATTCTGATATATTTTGCCATTACTAAATGTTTAAGAACTGAATTAAATAACAGCAAAATTATAATTTTTTTAAATTTATTTATCCGATTGTTCCTATGGAAACAATATGCTATAGTTGTCCGATCCGGCTCGTTCCGACTTATATACTACCTGCAATAGAACGACAGCTTTTGTGAAAGTTTCATGCAGATAGCTTTAAAACTGAGAGACTAGTTTACGTAGAAACGGACGGACAGTCGGACAGACGGGCGGACAGACGGACATGGCTGGTTCGACTCTCCCAGTGATGCTGATCAAGAATATATATACTTTATAGGATCGGTAATGTCTCATTCACTGCGTTGCAAACTTCTGACTGAAATTATAATACCCTCTGCAAGGGTATAAAAAGTTAAGATTACAAAAGTTTTTCTGCTTACTTGATGCACATCAAGATTTGGAAACTTCCAAATAGTTGGCCAATGCAATCGCCAAAAGAAATGCGAAAACGAATATGAAACAAAAAGCAACGAATATGAAACTACAGAAAGACACCAAAACCAAGTCACCAATAACTGAAAACCGCAATGTATAAAAATCAAAGCAAAAAATATTCAAATTGAGTACAAAATATTTAGATTTGCTACGTTTTTTCCACCAGTGTAAAGCAAAGTTTGTTTTCATAGCCGAAGTGCTCTTAAACCTATTGTGCCTAAGAATGCTAACACCGTACTAAAGATCTGAGCTAAATCGCTGAGAACATGCAGTTGACTGAGTCATTTCCCAATACTGAAAAAAAAAAACAAAAATTAATAGTGCAAAAAAACGTTTACCTCATAACCAAACGTCAAGCAAAACAAGACAATTAAATTAAACCCGTGACCACCTGCCAAAAACCAACAATACGATTTCAAAACCTGTGGTCTTCACACATAAAATAACTTGTCAATGAGTGTAGGCCGATTGCATCGATTAAATTTAATGGCAATTTGATTTTTGGTGTAAAGACATTTTTAAAAACTACATACTCTTGTTTCCTCACAGTCCGGAAGCTCCTTTAGCAGCGTAGAGTTAGCGTACCACCTCACTTTATTGAGAACAGGAGGATTTGCGTCCAAAATGTTGCAAAATAAGGTGACATTCGACTCATCGCTTTCTTTTACAGGACCCTCTGGTATCATTAAAATCTCTACACTCGGGACATCTACAATTAAAAAATAAATGTAAATATTGTAATTAAAATATACGATTACCTTACATTGCACGTCAAGATTTATTTTCTGATCAGAAATTCCTTTGCCAATGTTATTGGATAATTGACATGAATAATTTCCAATGTCTTTTTTTTCTGTAGATTTAATTACGAGGGCAACATTCTCTGAATTACCGCCTTTATAATGATCGGTGTCATTAATATTTACCAGTTCATCATTGCGATACCTGAAAATAAAACACTTTACTAAATCAGATAACTCCAATTTTTAACGACCGGCATTTCTTAAAACCCTTTGGCTTTACAGGAACAAAAAAGAAATTTCGAACGGTTTCAAAGATTTACGAAACTAACAAGATATACAACAATACATTTTTGGCAAGTTTTTAAAAAAGTTGTTTCTACACCTAAAAATAACTTAAATCGAAAAAAAAAACTTAACAAATAGTAAAAGTTGCACTTAAGATAAGTTGGCTTACTTTAATCTTAAATTGAATTCTCTACAGCCATAAAAATTATAATGACCAGTTTAAAAATCGTGGCTCAAAATTACGACTTGGACGACAAAGAAGACCACCACAGTTACCAAAAAAGGGACAGGGATCACCGTTTACGTCGGAGTTTTTTCGTGCCAGATATCCAGGAGCAATGCACGGAGGTACTGCGACCAGGATTTTCTGCGCTTCAGTAATTTTTATGCAAAATTGATTTTTTATTCAAATTAAAAATTGCACCATTACTGCTGGATCTCTGGCCGGAAATAACTCTCACATACATCATTTATTTTTCCGAATGTTCCTATGGGAGCTATATGCTTTAGTCGACCGATTTTGATGAAATTTAAACCGTATATCGGAAATATTTTACCATTACAAAATGTCGAATAACTAAGCAAAAAATTAATAAACAGCAAAGATATAATTTTTTTCATTTATTTTTCCGATTGTTCCTTTGGGAGCTATATGCTATAGTCGTCCGATCCGGCTCGTTCCGACTTATATACTACCTGCAATAGAAAGACAACTTTTGGGAAAGTTTCATGCAGTTAGCTTTAAAGCTGAGAGACTAGTTTGCATATAAACGGACGGACGGACAGACGGATATGGCTAGATCGACTCTACTAGTGATGCTGATCAAGAATATATATACTTTATAGGGTCGGAAACGTCTCCTTCACTGCGTTGCAAACTTCTGACTGAAATTATAATACCCTCTGCAAGGGTATAAAAACTACGAATCAGGCAGAAAAAAGCGTTTCCGACCCTATAAAATATATATTTTCTTGATCGGTCTATATGTCCGCATGAACGTTAAAAAGCTATAAAAGCTACAGATTATGAATTTAAAATGTTGGTTCTGCCGACTTGTTTCCCTGCTGTGAAACCAGGATATTTCGAACTTGAAAAAGCGTTACCACATTTTAGAGCTTTTTGCGATATCGTGTTTGTTTGAATCCCTTTTTGCAAGTCTGACGATGCAGGTATCTGTTTATTGTAAAGATTTCTTCTTTCGTCCTTGTTATTCAAAAACTTTGGATTTAATGCATCATGAACCAAATTCACCAAGCGTACAAGACTTTCCACAATTTCCGAAGACTTTTTCCATAACTTTGAAGATTTACAGCAATATTCGTTTCTTCAAGGGTGCAATGCGTATTTCGGCCGGTCTTAATAATTTTTTTAACTCGAATATATTTTAATAGCAAGTTTTAGGTTAAGTCTTTTAAAATTTAGTGTACTTATTATTTTGACCAGAGCAAAATCGGCCATCCATATTTGTATTTGCGCTAGTCACTAAGAGTTTGCAAATATTTAATTGTTACAATATACTTAAAACTAATTTTCATAAAAACTAACGTAATAGTGTTTTTAAGGTGCGTGAATAATTTTATTTTGAATTGCGTGGCACTGCTAATATTTTTAAGATGGTTTGGGAGCTGATTCCATGATCGAATAGCATTAATTAAAAATTGTCTTTCGGATGTCAAAGATCTAGGTCTTATGAAAGTAAAATTTTTTGCTCTTCTAGAGGATGTAAATTGAAGTTTTTCGAAAAGATACGAAGGTTCTTTTTGGAAAATAATTTTTGGCAGAAAAATTAAGTTTCGCATCTTTATCCATTCATTTAGCGAGATATCGAATATTTTCAGCGAAATTCGGATACGTGATCTCTATGTGGTTGGTTGAATATATACCTGGCTATGCAATTAAATAGAACTTTAATTTTGTTCTTACTGGTAGTGTCACAGTTTGAAACCACTTCTACTCCATAAAATAGCGATGGAACGATGCAGGTTTTAGCAATTAGTAAACGTATATGGGTGGGCAGGCAATTTTTAGTTACGGATAATTTTCCCTACAGACTTTGTAATATGATCATTCCAGGTAAGAGTTCTGTTGAATGTAAAACCTAAGTTTACAGCTGTATCAACGTACTCAAGTGGCGTGCTATTCATACTCAGTGGCTGCAAATTGTTAAAAATTATCTTTCTTTTACTTATGACAAGACATTTTGATTTTGATGCGTTGATCCCATGTCCATAGTTGCCATTTACACGTTCAAGTTCTCTGTTACAAACATCTATACATTCATTTATTCTGTTTAAAGGACGACTCACATATATTTGGACATCATCAGCATACAAGTGTACATTACATTCAGATAACGCATTGGGAAGGTCATTAACATATAAGGTAAACAATAAGGGACCAAGCACAGACCCTTGGGGTACAACACAATTAACATTTTCATATGAAGACGAAACGCTAGACAGTACAACAGATTGACGACGATTTTGTAGGTAGAAGTTTTAGAAAACATAAGCATATAACTTAGTTTTGCACAAAGGACATTATGGTTTACTGTATCGAAGGCCTTACTATGGTCCAGTAAAACTAAGAGTGTGACATTGTTTTCGTCTATTTGTTCCCTTATATCGTCTGCAATTTTTAAAATCGCTGAGGTACAGCTTCTGTTTTTCCTAAAACCAGACTGATTATTAGTAAGCATTGCATTGTCGGACATAAATTTATTAATTTGATCAGCCATGAGATTCTCAAATACCTTTGATAGGTATGGTAACGCTTTCCAACAGTCCGGATAAGTACATTTTTTCAGTACAGTATTAAAGGTATAGGTTATGTATGGCAGGATTTTTGGCAGCAGAATTTTTATGAATTTAGGGTTTATATTGTCAGACCCAGTGGCGTCACTCTTAATTCTTAGTATACTTTGAAGGTCATCACACTGATTAACACACAAAAACCTAAATCTAATATCACAGACAGTTTCAGGTACAAATCGTGGGTTCAGATATTTATTTTCAGTGATTTCAGGTACTTTGCAGCTTAAGAACTTTTTATTAAGTTCATTTACATTCATGTCTTTTTTAAGTCTTGGCTTAACTTTGCATATTCCCAGGTTTTTAATTATTTTCCATGTCTATGCAGTGGAAGATGCGTTGTTGAATTTATGGGAATAGAAATTTTTCCTGGCGTTTTCAGTAAGTTTGATCACTTTTTTTCTCAACGACTTGAACACTGCGTAAGCTTGAGGTGTCCTGTACCTTATCCACTTATTGTACGCCCCGTCACGCTGTAATATTGCGTCTTTGATGTTTCTTTGGAACCATGGTTTTTCAGAAAAACGAATAACTGTGCTACGAACAGGTACGAGACAGTTATATAAATAACAAATATTGTTTTGTAAAAGGTTAACTTGTTCGTCTACTTCGGAAAGGGAATATATGTCATTCCAATTTCACAAATTAAAAGTGTAGTCCAAAACGTCATAGTTGATATTTCTTAAGTCCCTAAAAACTATTGGATGGTCAAGGTATTGTAGATCAAGTGCGTAAGACAAGTATATGAGGTCGAGTTTTGAAAACGATGGGACAATTAGACACAAAAAATAAGTCTAAAAGCGAGTTGCGGGTTTGGTAAAATGCGTAGGGGATTTCATGTCCTCTGCAAGGTGGGATTCCCTTAAAATATCGCTATTAAAATCGCCTGTTATAATGACGTCTGAATAATTAATTGACACGTCAGGAATGATGTTTAAAAATTGTTCATAGTCAATCCGGCAGTTAGGTCGGTATATACACCCAATTAGAACTTTTTGTCAGCATATCTTTGGCATCTAATTTCTATAAATAGGTAAGTATTCAATTGCACTACTGGTTGAGTGTTTACATATAAACGTGGAACATAACTTGTTATACCCTTGCAGAGGGTATTATAATTTCAGTCAGAAGTTTGCAACGCAGTGAAGGAGACGTTTCCGACCCTATAAAGTATATATATTCTTGATCAGCATCACTAGTAGAGTCGATCTAGCCATGTCCATCTGTCCGTCTGTCAGTCTGTCAGTCTGTCAGTCTGTCCGTCCGTTTATATGCAAACTAGTCTCTCAGTTTTAAAGGTATCTCCATGAAATTTTCCCAAAAGTTGTTTTTCTATTGCAGGTAGTATATAAGTCGGAACGAGCCGGATCGGACGACTATAGCATATAGCTCCCATAGGAACAATCGGAAAAATAAATGAAAAAAAATTATAGCTTTGATGTTTTTTAATTTTTTGTTTAGTTCTTCGACATTTAATAATGGTTAAATATTTCCGATTTACGGTTAAAATTTCATCAAAATCGGACGACTATAGCATATAGCTCCCATAGGAACAATCGGAAAAATAAATGAAAAAAAATTATAACTTTTCTGTTTTTTAATTTTTTGTTTAGTTCTTCGACATATAGCAATGGTTAAACATTTCAGAATTATGGTTTAAATTTTATCAAAATCGGACGACTATATCATATAGCTCCCATAGAAATAATAAAAATATATAAAATAACTATCAAATAATTAAGCTGCAAATCGTCATAGCTTCAATGTTTTTAAACATATACGCAAGTAAATCATAATTTTAATGTTTTCAAAAATGTTAAATTCTTGCAATAGCTGCAAGGGTATATGAACTTCGGCTTGCCGAAGTTTGCTATCTTTCTTGTTACTAACATATATTGTAACCTCACCCCCATGACTATCACGATCAGAGCGATGCAAATTATAGCCATCACATTCAACATACATCACATAAATTAGGAACAAACCAAGTTTCAGAAACACATATAACATCTACGCTCGAATTGATAAGAGGTATCTAAATTCTTCAATTTTTCGTGTGAGGCTTTGAGCATTTATATGACACACATTAAGTCCAGCTCTCTTCTTTCCGAGAACCCTTAGAAGCGCATGGCTATTTGATCGATTTGGATATATGTTTATGTTATTGTTGTTGCTGTCACCTATTTTAAAATATTTAATAGTAATATTAGCTGCGCTCGCAGTCTATAAATATTTATGACATAAACCCACACCACACCACGAAAAAAAAAAATTAAAATTAACGCTACTGATACTTTTGTATTTAAATATATTTCATCACAATAACTATTCGAAATATAATCGATTTGCAGAGCTGTATTCCATAAGATTCGAACTTAGTCATAATAATGGAAATGATACCTAAGTACTTTTTATTTGGCCAGTAGTGTATATGCATGCGTAAATAACTTTAGAATGATACACACGTGTTTTTATGGACATGTTGGGTATTCTCAAAACGTCTGAATCTCTGAATTGCTGAATATTCAGTAGAAATATACAATACTAGATTAGAAAGAAAAGCATGCAGCGTTAAACATTTTTGGTAATGTAGATTTCACTTCTAAGCCAAAACTGTGCCCTAAGTTACCTGAAACTTATTAAAATTATCCCTGAAAAAATTAGCAATATATTTCTAAAAAATCTATAAATATTAAATAATAAGAGAACGTGCCTAATATTTAATATTCATGTAAATATTAATATTTCTGTAAAAGTTAAAATTTTTCAATTCCGGTGTAATTTGTTATTGTTTGGTATATAACTAGAGAATAACTAGTACGATATAACATTCAAAAAACTTTGGTATGTTCCAAAATGGTGTAGAGCTTAAACTTATAATTATCAAATGCTTTAGGCCGTGTCCTCTACTCACCATTCAACTTGCGTTAGAGAAGCAGGATTCGCAACATATTCACAATTAAGAAGAACGATTTCACTTGTATTGGCAATAATGTCAGATGGACTAACTTTTACAACGGGGGGATCTGTTGAAGAATAAAAATATATTGTTATTATATTGATGTGTTGATAAAAGGGAAGCCAAAAAACTCTTTCAGTGTATTACTGTCTGGGCCACTTCACTGGTAAAAAGATGCTACTTAGTTTAATTGTTTTTTATCAGCTTAAAAAGCTTAAAATGGTATTCTTTATTGGTAAAGATCTATACCAATACCACACAAACAGATGGACAGACGGACATGGCTAGATCGGAGATGTCTCCTTCACTGCGTTGCAAATTTCTGACTGAAATTATAATACCCTCTGCAAGGGTATAAAAATATTATAACTTTGCTGTTTTTTAATTTTTTTTTAGTTCTTCGACATATAGTAATGGTTAAATATTTCAGCATTACGGTTTTAATTTCATCAAAATCGGACGACTATATCATATAGCTCCCATAGAAGTAACAAAAATATATAAACCATTTTTTAGGCAAGCCGAAGTTCATTTACCTCTGCAGCTATTGCAAAAATTAAATATTCTTGAAAACATTAAAATTATGATTTACTTGCGTGTATGCTTACATTGAAGCTATGATGATTTTGTATTTATTTTTTTATAAATTATGTTTGATTAATTAATAATTTGATAGTTCAGAATTAAGCTTTTAATTTTATTAAAATCGGAAAACGATATAGCTGCCATTGGAACTATGTGCGATATGCAATAAATACAGTGGCTAACAAAAGACAGTGCATATTCACGAAACTGACTTTCGTAGCCCATAAATAACTTACGGTTCAAGATAATCAAACAAATTAAATTGTTTTATATACATAATTTAATTTGTAACATGTATGAATAAGATATTCAAAAAAACCCGCATAATTAAATAAATATTAATATTTTGTCCACAGACCCTTTTAGCAATAACTTGATTTTTGAAGTTTGGCATGTTCTCTACCAAATTTTCAACAATATCCTTTGCAATTCGATTCCATTCCGCTTTAACACAGTCCAAAAGGTTGGCCATGTTTGTTGAGGCTGCTTCGTTCCTTGTACGGGCATGACATTAGACAGAGACAACTATTAGGATACTGCTTGAGATTTCTTTGGTAATAAGTTAACGTTAAATTTAAACTTTATAGTTTTGTTAATAATATTTTAACGTTTAAAGGTTTTCAGATGTTACCTTTAAATGGTAAAAAATATTTATTATACATTTAAGCCTCGCTTTTTTATTCCGTTTTGTCGTCAACTCCAGTGACTGAGCAAAATTGTACTTTTTAAATTTGCTCATTGATGTATGGGCCCCGGTTGTTTTTTATCGAATGTTATTTTTTTTTACACAATTCCGTCTAGTATTTTACTACCGGGTATCAGGTTCTGTCAATTTTCTGCATTCAATTCTCATTGGAATCGTCATACGTTTGTCTTGCTCGCACTAACGTAAAATCGTATAGTTAATAAATAATACAAATATTTGAGCAATGAATGAGGCAAACAATGTAGTGTCATAAGCCCATTAGCAATTTTTGTTGTGTGCTTTGGATCACCATAAAATTGGGGAGATAAGTATTACAATTTGTAGATAGTCCACTTTTCGCATCTTCGACTAAATGCATGCCTCCATGTGAAGCTTCCCCAAACCATTATGTTTCCGACGCCATATTTAACGGTTTGCCTTACATGATGCCTTCTCCATGCAGCATTGCTTCCCATCTGACTGGAAACGGTTAAATTTGGATTCATCAGACCAGATATCACGTTTCCAATCATCAATGGTCCCATTTTTGTTGGTTTTAACGTTCTTATTGAACATAGCAGGCTTGTTTTTTTTAACATTTGAAACATAACCTATGATACGCAGACCTCTTCTGGCAATTATTTTTGCTGTTAATGGCCAAAGAAGCACCCCTCGGTGTTAGCAGCTTGTTTTTTCTCATCTGAGTCCATCAATAGTTTTTTGCGGCCATTGACTAGCGACTTTTACTCCTTATCAGCTGAGATCAACGCAGATTGGCTTATACGAAGCCTCTCGGAAATATTATGTAACGAATAACCCCTTCTGAGTTAGGCAAACTTATTTTTCTCATATTAAGGCAAAAAAAAAAAACACATTTTTTTTAACAGTACAGTAATTGAAAAAAAAACAAGAAAAAGAGCAAACTTCGTCAAGCCGAAGTTCATATACCCTTGCAGTTATTAAATAATCTTGAAGGCATTAAAGTTATGGTTTACTTGCGTGTATGTTTAAAAGCATTGAAGCTATGATGATTTGCAGCTCAATTATTTGAGTTCCTATGGCAGCTATATGATATCGTTTCCGATTTTAATAAAATTAATTCTGAACTGTCAAATAGTTAAATAATCAAAAAAAAATTCTAAAAAAAAATTACAAATTAAAAAAGTAAAATTTTTTTTAATTTTTTTTCTTTTAATTTTTGTTGTTCCCATGGGAGCTTTATGTTTTAGTCGGCCGATTGTTATGAAAATTAAACCGTAATTCTGAAATATTTAACCATAATTTTTTAAAATTGTTCCTATGGGAGCTGTGTGCTATAGTCGTCCGATCCGTCTCGTTCCGACTTATATACTACCTGCAATAGAGAAACAACTTTTGGTAAAGTTTCATGCAGATAGCTTTAAATCTGAGGGACTAGTTTGCGTAGAAACGGACGGACAGACTGACAGACGGACAGACGGAGGGACAGACGGACATGGCTAGATCGACTCTCCTAGTGGAATCTCCTAGTGATGCTGATGCTGATATATATAATTTATAGAGTCGGAGATGTCTCCTTCACTGCGTTGCAAACTTCTGACTGAAATTATAATACCCTCTGCAAGGGTATAATGAGAACGAGTTTCCAAGCTATTGGATACCTGTTACTTGGCCAAAAAACGTCAAAATATGTACTCCATCTATAAAAAAACGACTGCATAAACAACACTAGAAGCTAAGTGCGTGCAGCATCCCCACCCCCGCTTACAGTTCTTTCGTTTTGTCTCTCTCCTGCAGCGATTACCGGCAAGCTGAGGCCGAACAGCGCCCGAGCAGCGACAGAGGAGCGGCAGAGCGGCGGCAGAGGACTTCAAAACCCCATAACTTCTAAAATATTAGCTCGACACACTCACAGAGAATGGTGTGAGAGCGAAAATAGCAGTAAGGAACAAAAAGTGCAAAAGTAAGTTATTCTGATTTTTTTTCTTTCTATCTTTTTGATTAAAAATGTTATATTTTCTTATTTATCATTTTTGCAAATAAAATTATGTATATAAAAACATTTCATTTGTTTGATTATCTTGAACCGTTAGATTTTAATGTTCAGCTTCATTAACATGCAGTCAATATTGCTCGCCACTGTATATGTAGGCAAAATTAAACATTTGTTTAAACAAAAATCGCACGATTTTCCGCTTCCACGTCCGCCGTTAGTGCCGTTGTCCTCTTGGCATTCCTTTTTAACCCTTTGAATCGCAGCATAGAAGTCAACGTGGAAAGAGCTATTGCAGCTGGCGAAGTTCAATTTGAAAAGGGAAGAGGCATCGCAAGTGAACGGCACATTGAAAACTCCCAATCGTACACCAGTGAACAAAATAAATAGTTCACTGTCGATTTTCGTTTAATTAAAATGAGTTTATAAATAATAACAGTCGTGAACATAAAAACTGTGCAATATTGATTTTGTTATTTTTATTAAATTCAATTTAAATTTTAAAATTTAAAATAAATGACAGCAATGCAACTGAGGCCGGCGCACCTGGTATAATCCCAGTAACGCCAGCAGCGCAAGGACAAAGGAGATATTTTTGAAAATTCTCGGCTACCTTTTACAGCGGAATTTCTTATACTCAAGTCCAGTGCCAGGTTCACATAGAACAGCTGCGAGCGATGAATGAGTATGATTAAAAGGTTCATCTGCAATCTCTCAACAAATTGAAGTCTAGTTTTGACATCGCCCAATCTAGTTTTGAAGAGCAGGATTTTAATTCTATAGAGAGCGATTTTTTTTTTAATTGCTTTGCCATTTACTTATTAAATCTTATTTTTCGGATACAAACAACCAGTGTATCAAATCTTATGGTAATAAACTAACTAACGGTATGCCTGTGTTATGGAGCCCTACAAATTATTGCTGGGTTCTGCTGGAAGCCCGGTTCAAGCCTCTTGCGAGATGATTTGGGTGGACAGAGAGTTTTTCATTGAAGGTCGCTTTTTTTTGTTCTATTTCATCTTTTACTGCAAGAATGCCGAGGTTCCTCCGGATGTTTTGGATGTTTTTGAAAATACCATGGTGCCCCAGTGATAGTTCTCAGGATTTTTGATTGTGCGCGCTGTATGATGTCTATATTGCTGCTGCTCGCGTTCCTCCATAGCTGGGAGCCATATGTCCAGATGGGCTTGAGAGTGGAATTGTACAGCAGGACCTTGTAGTCCAGACGCAGGTGCGATCGAGCGTTAAAGATCCAGTGGAAGCTGCTGGCTTTTAGTTTTAAATGTAGTTTCTTGCATTCGATGTGTCTTCTCCAGGTTAGTCGTCTGTCTTGGTGAACGCTACTTTACATCGTTGACTGGGGGAATCTGCGTACTACATATGATAGTGGAGGGCATGTTTGCCTGTTCAGAGTAAACGTAATGTGTTTAAAATGTTGTTCATTTGTTTATTTTAATACGCCAGTCAGATAGTCACCTCTCTACTAGGATAAGGTGTTTAACTAGTTGTGTGAGATTGGGCACTAAGAGCGACTTATAATTGAAGTATCGTCAGCAAACGTAAATGTAGTTAGCTGCTCGTTCGTTGGAATATCCGCTGTATATAGGACGAGCAGACTAGGTCCAAGTGCGCTTCCTTGCGGGGCTCCAGCTTCGATAATGAAGTCGTCAGATGTTGTAGTGTTGCACCCTACTGCGAAGACTCTGTCGTAGAGATACGACTCAAGTAGCTATGAGTGTATTTAGGCAAATTAGATTTGATTTTATACATGTGGCCATCGATCCAGACTCGATCGAAAGCTGTAGATACATCGGGGAATACTGCG